CCCCAAAACCCCAAAACCCCAAAACCCCAAAACCCCTTTGTATGATAGATCTATTGAATATTAAGTTATTTGCATAATGAGGGTAAGAGAACAAAACCAATGCTTCATTAGAGGGTAACTCTCAATTCTTTTGAATACTAATGTTGTAAAGAGAGAAGGAATTTATATATATCCGAGTTATTAAAGATCTCTCTTCATTTTATCTACGACATTTTAATAAAGATTCTTTGGTGAAAGAGAAATTAATACTCAGAAATATCCAACCTGAGTTAGAGTTAGAAAAAATTTATATTGGTAGAAATTGAGAAAGATTGTAAAGCCTGCTTTCATTTGATGGACAAGCATGATAAGGATAAGTTAAGAATATTTTCCGTGCAATTCAGAGACCATCTTGTGCATATTAGCCATAGAATCATCCATCACTTTGTCGTTGTAGATTAAGTTGGTCATTCTAATATGGGCGGTTCCTTCCTCTTGACCAAATCCTGATCCTGGTACAGTGATCATTCCTGTTTCTTCTAACAAGTTCAAGCAGAAGTGGAGATCTGGGTGAATACCAAGGGAATCGGCCTCAGCAATGAATTTTTCTGGCAGATGAAGTCTAGCAAATGAATACAAAGCTCCTTGGGTTTCGTTAGTAGTGATTCCTTCCATATTGTTAAGCTTTTCATACAACTCTCCAGCTTTTCTTTGAAGTCCTCCAAAAACATGGTCTTTTTCCTTATTATAGAGAGATACAACTTCTGGGGAGTTGACACCTTCCTTTGGTGGGTTTACCATTGTTCCAACAGCAATCATACCTGGAGTTGGGGCACAGAATTTTATAGCTTTAAGCTTATAAATCATTTCTTCAGCGAATGAATCCAAATTTGTAAATTCAAAATATCCACCTCTGAGACCACATTCGCCAGTAAATCCTTTAGATACAGAATGCATGGATACCATTTCGAGCTTGCTTTTGATTGGATCTCCCAGTTCTTCCATTACTCCTCTCATTGAATGGAATTCATTTCCATTGTATACATTTGCTTGGTAAACTTCATCAGCAATCACTAGCAAGTTGTTCTCATAAGCAAATTCAATAACGTCCTTAAGATTCTGCTTAGTCAAGACTTGTCCAGTTGGATTTCCTGGGTTAAGCACAGCAATACCTTTTGGATTAAGTCCTCTATCTTTAGCATCTTGGTATGATTTTTGAAGATCTTCAAGGTTAAGAGCCCAGTTATTGTTTTCATCCAAACCGTATCTTACTTCTTGGCCTCCATAAGCAACGCAGCAAGCACTGTATAATGGATAATTAGGAGTAGGAATCATAACTGCATCATTGGGATCATTAATCAAGAGTCTGAGGAAGATTTCGATAGCCTCGCTAGCACCAGTACTCAGATACAACTTAGAGGGATCGACATCAACACCATCTCTTTCTCTAATGAAATCAATGACCTCCTTCTTGATTGGATCGTATCCATCTGGCTTTCCAGCGTAAGCTCCGATTGCCTGAGGATCCATGTTCTCCAAATAGTGTCTGGCTCTATCAACAGCATCAACACTGTATCTATCATAGCTAACATCTTGTCCGAACTGGTGATGCATCATAATTGATAGAACCTCTCTTCCAAAAGTGATTGGGGGCTGTCCTAATGCTTGAGGGTTTCCACTATGCATTGGTACAAGCTTCTCGAACTTGAACTTCTTTCCTGTAGCCATTTCCTTCTTCATCTGAATAGCTCTGATTGCAACAGGTCCTCTGACAGCATTTTCAGAGTTCTTCACAACAGATGAGATGGAGTTTTTATTCAAAACTGAGAAAGCTCTCTTCATGAACATCTTGAATTTAATTATATTTAAAGATTCATTAATAACATATTCATACGGGGTTTTGGGGTTTTGGGGTTTTGGGGTTTTGGGGTTTTGGGG